CGCTTCTTTCAAGAAAATTACCATATAAGGAAATTTTCAAGAAATCAGTGGTGAACGGGTGAGAGTTTTTTTTTTTTGTATATTTAATATTCTTATATATATTTATATCCGATCTAGTACATGAATCTACATTATTAAGAAGTGATTAAAGAACTTGCGTTGTCATCACTAGCTCTATTTATGACATAACTAAAATTACTGGTTATTATATGTTATTCTACTAAATTTCCTAACTATTAGTATGGCATCTGCAAACCTCTTGGTTTTTATCTATGAACTTTTTGATTTCTTTAAATAGGTTTTTTGATTTCTTTAAATAGGCTTTTTGATTTCTTTAAATAAGCTTTTCTAATTCTTTAAATAGGCTTTTCAGTTTTTATAGACAGTTCAATCTTCTATCTATAGGCTTTTTAGTTTCTATCCAAAGGTTTCTTAGTTTCTATCCAAGGCTTTTTAGTTTCTATCCAAAAGTTTTTTGGTTTCTACTGATAGGCCTTGCAGTTTCTGTATAGACATTGGCTACCATTTTACCTGAATACTGTGGGACATAACTTCTTGAAAATTTGAGTAACAATAATTGTGCATTAGTTTTTTAGATGTATCTAGTATAGTTATCAGTAAGTAAACAACATCAAATATGGTAATAATAGTCATATCAATCTTTTTAAGAGGTAAACTATTTATTCTTTTTCTTGGAAACCATAAAAAGAAAAAAATTTTAGAAGCTTATATATTGAAAAAAAATTGTTGCTTCTTGATATGGTCCCTGAGAAAAGAAAGTTAATTGGTTAAAGAATTAATATTATAAAGTAGAGTTTTTAAAAAAGAGAGAAGCCTAAAGAAAAAAATCTTCAGGAAGAAAGAAAAACCTAGTTTTAGCAAAAAAAGATGGAAAAAATAAAGAGGAGAGTATAGAGTATAAAATAAATATGTAGAAAAGAGATGAATAAAATAAGGGAAAAAAATAAAAGAGTATGGGGGAGAAAAAATAAAAAAAAAACCGAGAAAAAAGTAAACAACTTAAAATTTCCTAAAAAAAAAATTTAAGTACAAAAAGAGAGTGGAAAAAAGTTTTTTCTTTATTTTTATTTTTTTTTTCCTATAGACAAATATTATTTCTTTATTTATTTATATATTACAAGGTGTACATTTAGAAAGAAACAATATTTTTTGAATGTAAAGCATATAATAAGTTAAATACTAGCCTATCTACAAATATCATAAATAGTTAATACTAAAAAGAAATTTTAAAACAATATTGTTACTAAATATAAACCAAGTAGTAGCTATGTTTATCTACTCAAAAAAAATGTTTAAGACATACAGAAAATTTGAAAAGAAAAAAGATTTATGAAAAGAAAAAATAAAAGTAACTAAAACCAGAACAAAATTCAATAAACTATAAAATCTATAAGAAAAAAAATTATATTTCCAAAAGAATTTCCGATCTGGCTTATTGTCCTGTCTTTCTAATTCTTTACTACTTGTAAGTATAATCTTTATTAATACAGATAATAGAGTATATGTAATTTGATTTGTCATTATAGTTGTTATTATTGTTATATTGATATAATTAGTGATTAATAAAATAATTGGTCTATAGATTGGTAATATAATTTTGTTTTGACTGTGGTTGCCAAAACTGGTTTTGTTTACATTAATCATTATGTGATATTTTGATTATATACTGTATATTTGTTTTGGTATTTGATAGTATTTAATTAGTTGAGTTTGGGATAGTAATCAATTAACAGAAATAAACTGATTGCAATTTTTTAGTGAAAAATTTTTTAAGTAAAAATTTTTGGTTTTTTGTAATGCAGCATATTATATTGAATTATATTGAAAAGTAAATATTATATATATTGCTGGTGTTTCAAACCAGCAATATAAACAATATTGATATATGGTTTAATTTTTTAGGTTAAAGAACAACCTTTCAAGAACAAAAAATATTTATTTAATAAAAATTGTTTTTTAGTAAGAAGTGTAAATAGGAAAAACCTCAAGAAAGATTTGGAGAAAAGTAACTGCCATAGATCTTTTCTCATACAATTCAAAGAAAAAGCAAGATCTTCAAATTTGCTTTTCTCTGATCAAAGATTCCATCCTAATACACCTGTATACTTTTCTGAGTTTCTTGAGATTCTTGTAGTGTAAAAAAGAGAAGTGTGAAGAACTTTTAGATATTGAAAGGTGAAGATAAAAAAATTACCATAAAAGAAAGTTTTTAAGAAAAATGTTATGTACAGAAAAGATTTGTTTTTTGTAAAAAAAAATTAATAACTTTAAATATATAAAATTAAAAATTGTATTTAATAAAAATCATTAAAATTTAAATTATTAATTATTAGAATAATAGTTTGCTTTTTAAAAAATTTATTAACAAAAAATTCATAACTTTTTTTTTTTTAAAAAAAAAAAAATTTTAAATTTTATTATTACTTTACAATTTATATCAAATAATATAAAAATGATTTTTATTAAAATATCATAACCTAAAAATCTATTTTTAAAATTTAATATTTATTATAACAAATATATTAAAAATTCTATTTTGTATTTGTATAATTTAAAATATAGTCATATCGTGTTTTTTTTTATTATTTGTATTTTAATTAAAAAATTTTTTGATCAAAATTTTTGAATCACCTTGTATGTTGCGACTAGTATAAAAAATACACAGGAACATGAATTATAATAAAAAGGACTATAATGCGCGCGAAGATAGGTTAAAACATCCTTTTATTATTATTGTTTTTCTTTCAAGTAGCATCATCATTAATATATAAATGTGCGCATTCCTATATTGGCATTAAAAGGAGCTAACATCGTGCATTTTTTAGGTTACGCAAAAATCCGGTCGGAGTTAATGACTACAGTACAATACCAACCATTGTTTTATAAGGTTTCCTATCACATGCAATTTGTTTTGGTTTGATTGATATTACATAATTTACTATAATAAAGTATTCACAAAGGCCACAAGAATCAGTGTAAATTGACTAGTGCAACACCCATAGAAATTAACAAATTAATCCATCGTTCCGTTAGATAATTCTTATATAAAGACTTTTTTTTTGCAAAAAAGTACATGACATCTCAAAAATGCTCTTGACTTCTTTGCTTGAATCTAGTCCTGTTTTTTCTATCCACCTAAAAAATGAAGATTCTGTATATGTAGCAAAAGTGATCACGCATACTACTGGAGAGTTATTATTGAAGAATTACCAAAGGTACGTTCGGCCAGATGGTGCTGTTGAGTCCTACAAGCTTATATACAATGATAAGGATATTCCACTTTCAGATACACTTAAAGAATTGAGGATTAGGGTTAGATATCTTATAATAATTTAAAAAACTAAAGATGCAATTTTTGTATCGACCGGAGTGAATACTAATTTCTTTTTCCTGAAATTTGTAACTTTAGGAAGGAGATCTAGTTAAGTTAGAACTTAGAGAATGCACAAATTCCAGTGGATTTAAGAGAATAAAGTTCGATTTTACACCCGATAAGCCAAGAAGTTCAATGACAATTTCCTGAAGATGCCCACCAAAAAAATAGAACTGAAAGTATACCGGAGTGATAAAATTATTCAAATTAAGGAGATGATCTATGGGTATTTCCCCGCAAAAACAAATTATTACTTTTAATGACGTTGAGTTGAAAGGTCGCACTTTGTCGTATTACAATATTCAAAAGGAATCGACGTTGTATCTAACCTATAAAGAAATGATTGTTTATATAAAATGGAGACTGGAGAAACAATAGAACATGAGCCATTGCCTCCTTATGATTCAATATATCATATAAAATTAAGGATTAGGGATAAAAAAGACATCCCCTTTGTAATGCAGCGCGTCATTTTTAATGGAGAAAAATTAGATGACCATCGCATCCTGTCATATTACAAAATCAAAAATAGGTCTGTAATTAATCTAGAGATTAAATCAATGATTTTCGTAAAAAATCCCAGATCAATTCTAAACATAGATGCAGAGACAAAAGAAACGATTGGACAAATTAAACAAAAGATCCAGAAAAAGCAAGGAATCCCTCCAGAACAACAATCACTCTTTTTTTTAAGCAAGGAATTATGTGATCAGAATACATTATCGTATTACAATATTCAACGTGGATCTACATTGGATCTAGAATACAAAGAAATAGCGATTTTTGTAAATGTAATAGACGGAAAAATCATAGAACTGAGAGTAAAAAGCGACTATAAAGTCGAAAGTATTAAAAGAATGATTCAGGATAAAGAAGGCATTCCTTATCACCAACAATATCTGGTTTTTAATCGTTTAATGCATGATCATGCATTATTGTCATCATACAATATCGAAGAAGGATCTATATTGTGTTTAGAATTTGAAAAAATGACAATCAATATCAATTTGATGGGTAAAAAAATCATAAAGCTAGAAGTAGAAAAAAATTTCACCATTGAACAAGTCATACAAATGATCAAAGAAAAAGATGGCATCTCCTTGAATCAAGTTCAACTCGAATTTTCTGAAAGTATTTTGGATCCTGAAAAAACCTTAATGTATTATAAGGTTACTAACGAGTCTACCCTATACTTATACTTATATAATAATTATTTAAGCGGTAATATATATGTAAAAACATTGACTGGAAAGACGATAACTCTGTCAGTGGGATCAAGTAACACCATTTACGACCTTAAATTAAAGATCCATAAAAAAGAAGGAATCCCTCCTGATCAACAACGTCTTATTTATGCGGGCAAGCAATTAGAAGAAGGGAATCTCTTGTCTTATTACTATATAAGAAGAGAATCTACACTCCATTTAGTACTTAAGCTACGTGGCGGGATGTTTCAAGAAACTAGTGGTCGACGAGAGTTTAATGCATTGCCACCACTCACACAATATATGCTAACACCTGAAGAACGTCTAAATAAAGGAATTCATGCTGGTATCGCCTGTAATTATTGTGGAAAACGCGAGTGGAAAGGGATGAGGTTAATATTCACTGACTTTAATTTAGCTTAGCAATATCCATTTTTACACTAATGCAATTTTTTTTTCATTGACAGGTATAAATGTTCAGAATGCCTTGATTATGACTTGTGCTTTGATTGCATCACAATGTCCAACATACTTCATAATGTGCAACATCATTTTCTGAAACTCGTGGATCCCGTAGATCCAAAGGCGACTCACGAAGATATCTTATCTGCTTTTGTTACCATATCCCCAATATTACCTGACACGAAAGAGAAACTGTTGGCTCTTTTACGTGAGGAAGAACGCCGAAGGTTTTCACCTGAAATGCAAAAAAAGTATTATGAAGTTGGTAATGATCCTACGTGTGGTATGGATTGGATGGATGTCACTGATCAGATGCAGCATGAGTTAGTTCGAGAATTTGGATATTCAGATGAGGCAGTGCAATTATTACGGCGTGCGCCACAGCTTTATCCGAGTAATTAAATACACTCTTTCTTTTTAACAATTTGTATCTTAATATTGATGTCTTTTTATGTTTCCAGACGATCCTGAATTTCACACAACTCAAGTATATGTTCGCAACAATATTGCCAATATTGGAAACCTTACTGAAGGAATGCCGGCACCTGATTGTTTATTAGTTCCCCTCAAACCTTCAATATTCAAAGCAATGGCTATTGATAATGACTCCAATTCACCAAATATGGTTTCTTTGCGCTTACTTTGTAAATCAGGGCGACCTCTTGTTTTATTCGGAGGATCCTATACTTGTCCCTTATATCGATACATATCTCATGTACTCAATGATATATATACTCGATATAAAGCGCAAGTGGATTTTTATATGATTCAAATTCGAGAAGCTCATGCTTCTGATGTTTGGCCTATCGGTAACATTGTTGATGTCAAAGAGCATCGCGCATTATCTGATCGCCTGGTCGCTGCACGTGAGATGGTCGAAAAAACCCAGTTGGAAATTCCAGTGCTAGCAGATACAATGAATGATAGTTTTTTAAATTTGTATTCACCATGGCCATTCCGGTTTTTTGTTGTTGTAGATGGTATTTTAAAACTTGTAGGGATGCCAAAAGAAGCGCATTATGATACAACGGGTCTTGTTAATTGCTTGGATAATATTTTATGTAGCAAAAGGAATTAATCCTATTACAGTATTATGCAATTTTAATGTCAGAAATAAGCTATCACATGTAATACAGTAATAGACTAAGCAAGAATGAAATCGTCAATGAGAAAACCTATTTAAACCTTCTATTATTACATCGATATCTATATACAGTATTGATTACAGTAAGAGTCATTAAATTAACGTAATCATCTTACTTCCCATACCAATACAATATATTCCAAGATTTCAGACAACACGAAAATCGTGTTATGCAGTCGTGTCCCACATATTCTTGCCCGTCAACAAGTTAATTATATTAATAAATTTTCTATTTTATCAAATAAATACCAAAACACGATTTTTAAAAAAAGAATTTATATAAAGTAAATTTTTAAATAAAAATATAATCAATGTACCTCAACAGAAAAGAATAATAATAAAAGCAATATTATGAATAAAAATTTTTCTGAATGTTAAAAATAAATTCCTAAAAATATAAATATCTACTTATTTTCTTCTTATGTAATCGGATTAAGAAAAAATTTTGATTTGAAATCTATTTCATCTTTGGAATCTTGACATATTTCACTTTCGAAATCTTTATACATTTTTTCAAGTTTGGAAACCTTAGGGACAGCATTGTAAATAATGGAGTATTTATCGTCAGTGAAATTAAAGTGAGCGATATTAAACCATTATAAAAAAACATTAATTCTAAGATCTATATATTTCCATAAGATATGCTGCAATCATTAATGATTTGTTTCCGTTGGGGTTGTTTCTTGTGGTTTCAATTACCGCGACAAAAATGAAGAAATAAATTAGCCTTTCATAGCCTTTCATAACAAATAATTTCTCGAATAAATTTATCTTATTGAAATTCAAATAAGTCGGGCAATAGTGCATAATAGTTGGTGATTTGTCTTATTGTTTATTATGTAAGTCGGGAAGTATCATATCGAGGTGCTATTCATTGTAGTTGTGTCTAAAATATCATTTTCGTTAAGCATTTTATCATTAGCGTAGACGTATGTTTGACCATCACCATCTTTACGCTTTATATCAATCTTTTAAGCAGACTTTTCTAAAAAAAAAATCGCACTTGGGCACCAAAAGGCGAGTTCCGGAAGTGCTTTGGTAACTACTAACAGAGAGCTTTTTTTGTAGCCTTCATAGCATCCATTAATGATTCCCATACTAAAAAGATGTTATTGTCTTTAATTGCTTTGAAAAAAACATGGTCGAGTGTTTTTTCTAATCTTCATTGCAACATTTATAAATGATGTATTGTAATATATGTTGTTATTTTGTAATCAATTAAATTTTTTAATAATTTGTAAAGTTGGTCCTGGTCCTTAAGAAATTCTGTTAAGAGTTTATCACTTAGTTCCTTTACTTTCTGATGCTTTTCTTCATTTACATCTTTCGATTTTTTCTTTAGTTCATAAATTAATTTAGCTACATCATGAATTTCTTCTTTTCTTCCTTAATATATTAATTTCCCGCTCCAAATCAACCATGTTTTCTATGAGCCTATTTTATAAGTCATTTCCAATATTTATAAAGGAATCATTCTCCATTTTGCTAAGAACCTTCAAGAAGCACACTTGTGTACTGCACAATTTATGTATTTTTTAACGCTGATCACTAATATTATAAATGACTCAAATAGTTAAATAACGAAGCACACCTTCATCATGTGCATGAAAACAACAACAATAATATTTTTCTTAACAAAGAATATGATGTAAATCTTGAATAGAACGAGTAAATTAAAATAATAGAAATCATGTAAATTTATTCGCTTGACAATATGCATAATTCTTTACGTAAAATAGTAACATCGATGTCGCTGTTTTCACATGATTTCGTTTTACTGTCAATTCTTGACAAAAGATCGAAGCATTAATCAAAAGTAGTTACGATCATTAAATCTGTTTCACTGAAAATTGCACGGAGATTAAAAATGAACGAACCGTGGATAACATACATAGTAGGCAGAAGAAAATATGTTGCGGACAATAGAAAGAAAGATACAGTAACATAAATTATAATAAAAAGAACTGTAATGTGCACGAAGATAGATTAAATGATTAAAACATTCTTTTGTTATTATTTTTTCTTTAAAGTATTAATATAAAAAATGTGGGCATTTCTACAGTGGGACACCATATTATTGTGAATAATTTTTTTAAATTATTTAAAAATACTGTAGGTAAGCAAATATAATATAAAATTTTTATCATATATTTAATAAATATTAAAATATAATGTATTTAATTTTCATCTAATTTTATTTTGTAATACAAAGTTATGTGAAAAAACATGTCAAGCTATTTTTTTGAATTAAATCTAAAATAGATTTGACCTTTTTTTTTTGAAATCATATCTCAAATTTCTTCTTGATGTTTTTGAACACCTGAATAACATTTGTAACAATTAGGCAATGTCATGTCCTATAAAAGGTTGAATTGGCACATTTAAATTAATTATCATCTTAAACAATAAGAAAGATCTAATTGAAAAACAGAAGGTTTAATAATTTATGGCTACCCAATTAATGATTTGGTCTATACAATTGTGGCTGCTGTCAGTTGTGAAAAGTTTGCTGCATGAAATGTTATAAAAAAGTTTCATGAGTTAAGTACTTTAATAAAAAATGTTCTAAGCATCTTAAAATCCTTATTTTCTTTAATCATACTGGCCTCAAAAGTTTGATTGTTAATAAAATTGTCATCTCAATTTAATTCAAATTGTTGATCTTTTTAACCTTCAGAAAAGAAAAAAAAAGTTTCTAAAATTACTATTCATTATATATTGCATAACAAAAATCCAAAATCTTGCATTGCTTACTTCAAATCATTTATCTTCTCCAAAATGCAAAAAAAAACTTGTTTAGTACCTTGTTTACAAAAACTGAATTATTTAAAACTTTTGTTATATTTTGTAGTCTGATAAAACAACATTAGCATTTTTCAAATTTTTTCAATAGAGTTTGGCATAAACCAAATGAAAAGTAGAATATTGAGTGTTTAAATAATAATGTCAAGCATTTTCGGGATTGCATATATTGGAATTACTTCTCTTGATTTGAGTTGTGCCTCTTATTCTATTAAAGTTTGCTGCCACAGGTGCTTTATATACTGAAATTCTTCAAAAGTATATCTTGCCGGTTTTACAAATTTTCTTGAAATTAAAACTTATAGACGTTCACTTTTTCAATAGAATAATGCAAGATTATATACTGTTACTATAGCTATACAATTTATTAATAAAAATAGAATTTATAAAGTAACAATAATATCTTTAACATATTTGTAAAAAATGAATACTGGTATATCATTTATTTAAAATTCAAACCAAAAGTTAATATCATAATTATTTTATGTTACCTACTTTATGATAAAGTCTCAAGAAAACATGTAACCATCTCAATAAAAACTTTATTAAAAAAATTAAGGAAAATATATTATTTTAGCTATTGATTTTAACTTATATTCTTTTAATTTCTTTTCTATTAATGTCTTTACTGCCCATACAAAAAAACTATTTAAAAATACTTTAACAAATTTACTGATATAATTAAGGTTATTAACAAAAAACATTTATTTATCCATATAACAAATACAAGTATATTAAGAATTAATTAAATCTGGATTACTAATAATTTGGTTAGTAAAATCTTAAGCTATAAATTATTTGAATAATATGCTATTTGCACAAACTATAAACAAATAACAATTATCATTAACTGATTTAAATACAAATCAAACAATTTTATTCTTCATCAATATATATTAATTTAGAGATGCTACTAAAAAACAAATACAAGTAATACAAAAAAATATCAAACTCGCTTGTCTTGCAAATTCAAATTACATATAAAATAGTTTTAATAACATTATAAAAAAAGTAAAAGTAATGAATAACACATCACTTAAAAAAAACAACTCAGTTTAAAATCTAAAAAAGATTCTTTAAAACACTACAATACAGCAATTAAAACAATTAAAACAATAATGAAATTTCTAAAAAAAAACAAAGTTTTAATAACAAAACTTTATTTTTTGACAATAGCCATATATAATAAAATATTTAGCACAAAACTACTCTTAAAATTATAGAAAAAAATAAAAAGAATTCTGATTAATAAAAAGTTATCAAGATTAATAAAACTATTCTAAATAATATAAAAAAAAATAAAAAAAATTACTTTAAATTCTGACAAAAATCAAAACATTATAAAATCAATCTCTATTATTACTTTTAAATAGAAAACTGCTAATAATCTTAAAAAGAAACTATAAATATTCTTATTTAATATCTTTAAAAATTTTTATTTTATTAATCTTTTTAGTCTTGACATAGCTATAAGAAGAATTAAATTATTACTTTAAATTATTTTACTAATTTTAAATTTTCTTAATAATAAAAAATTTCAAATAATTTTATATTTTAAACTTACTGACCTTTAATTACTAATTATAGAATTAATTAAAATGAAACATCTATTTCACTTTTGTAAATAATCTTTTATAATTCAATTATTATTCAGGTTGTAGATTTTATATCTTCAAGATCCAAAATATTTACTTATATAAATGACATTATTATATTAAACAGTTTTATCAACTTTCTTTAAAAATTCATAATATTATTCTTAATTTTTACTCAAGATCTATACTATTTCTTGTTCAATTTTCATTAGCATTTATTCTTGAAATCTTATCCATTCTAGAATAGTTTTGTATCATAAATCTATTGCTATATCTTTGACACTTATTGTATCTATTGTATCTTTACTATTTCTAGAATAATTTTATTTTATTTTATCTTTATCCTCTATATTATCTTTATCAAAGTATTTATTTATCTCTTAAATTGTAATACAGACAAATTTGCTTACATATTTAAAATATTAATAAGTTTTTAAAAAATTTTGATAAAATTTTAAATATTAATTTTTATAATTTACTTATATTATAAAAAATATAATTTAGGATATTCTTTATTAACTTTATTAAGTAAAAAAA